CGTACCTGTATCTCTGAGCTGTGATGGTAGCCCCTGACTGGTTCCCGTACCTGTATCTCTGAGCTGTGATGGTAGCCCCTGACTGGTTCCCGTACCTGTATCTCTGAGCTGTGATGGTAGCCCCTGACAGGTCCCTATACCTGTATCCCACAGTAGCAAGCTGTACAAGCCGTTGGATTCTCTAGCATATTGAATTGATCTGTTCCCAGACAGGTTTACCTAATGCCACCTTGACCTCTAATAATGCATTTTTTTGTTAGCATGTCACCAAGCTGCATGAGTACTGTGCAAAAGTTTTAGGCTGTCAATGAAAATGATATTTAAATGACCTTCATGTTGGTGTAAATCTATGATAGTTAGTCGGCGGTGAAATTTAATGAGTACATAGAATGGCTGAGAACAGGTTTGGGAACTGAAACGGTTTTCTTCAAGCCATCTTACAACACATCAGTAACTTTTTGGAGAACAGAAGGAATCTTAGCATTTTATTGTGTTACTCTTAATTTGCACATGTTCTAGTGTCAAATTTTCTCAGCAAAAATGCACTTACTCCCCAGATAAATAGCTTTAAAAATTTACTTTGACTGCCTAAGACTTTTGCATAATTTTGAATTTATTTGTTTGGTGATTTGGGTGGTCAGCAGGAGGAAGTCTAATGAATGGCCAAAAAGCACGAGAGTTTGGCTCAGTGCCATGTAGTGGCTCACAGATTTGTGTATCAGGGGGCGGGGGGTGTGACTAGGAGGTTGTTTAGCAGACACTTTTATCCAAAGCAATGAACATTCATACATTTCAGAAAGCAGCTGGGGGGGTGCTTAAAGGCCTTGCCCAAAGATTAAATCCCAAAGATTAAATCAATTGGCTGATCCTGGGATTTGAACCAACGACTTTCTGACCACAGCTATAGCATTCTAACCCACTGATACACACATCGCCTGGTGGAGAAAGTCTAAAGATTGGCCACTGAGTAGCAAGATAGGCACCGAGAATCTCCAGGCAGCCAGCAAGTGTGAGATGTTGGAAGGATAACATGGCGGAGGCTCACCGAGGGGCTGGCCGGCGACGATCCGGGCGTTCTCCCCCGCCACGGCAGCGCGGGCATTCCTCTCGCTCATGTACTGGACGAACGCATAGCCCTTGTGCACCGAGCAGCCCACAATCTTGCCGTATTTGGCAAAGATCACCTCGATGTCGGCCTTCTTCACAATGGCTGTGTTGAGGTTGCCGATGAAGACCCGGGAGTTGAGGGAGCGGGGGTCGTTCTTGTTGGTCACGTTGCTGGTCTGCGTCTTGCCAGTCATCCTCCACTGCAGGCCCTGAATGACAGCAGCGAGGGAGGGGGGCAGAGGTGCCTCAGAGCAGGAGCGTATGGGAGCCCTGTCCAGCCACGAGTTATTGTGAAACACAGCAAAGGTCACAGAATGGCCACCAAGTCAACTGAGCCAACACAGACCTCTACACCAGCACATCCCGGTTTTCTTTCTGAAAAACCAAGAAAGTCACCCCCCCCCCGGAAAAAAGCAAGGGACACAGAGTTGGAAGCCAGCAAAACATCCTGGTCCCACTATCCGCCATTAAGAAGTCGCTGTTAGCTTGATTCATTCAAAGCCCCCCCCCCCCCCCCCCCCCCCCCCCCCCCACTAACAGCAAGGCTGTTTATATGAAACTGGACATCAGCGCAGCAGTCAATGTGCCATAAAGCAGTCCCTTCAGAGGACCTTGACGCCTTTGCTGTTCGCTACCACCATTAACCCCCCCTCCCCCCCACCGTGTACCCACGCTCTCTTTCTCACGCACGGACGCCGTCCTTATTCATCACATCCTGAATGCCTTGTCCTTCAGTCTTACAAAATATCACCTTAAGGGGCGCATTGCCTGCAGACAATGTCCCTCAACAGAAGTCAAGCCGCAGAAAGAAGAAAAGGGCAGGAATACGGGAGACGGAGATCTTAATAAAGGCAGAGTAAACTCTCAAGGTGACACAGAGAGGCAACATGTTAAGCTTTTGTCATGGGGGAGCAGAGTCAAATAAATATTTCTGTAAGAAACTTGGAGAGAGACATTGTTATCCACAATTCCCTCTTCAGCTTCCAGATGTCAGCTTAACGATAGTGATTATGATAATAATAACAATAATAATAACTATAGTAATATCAGCAATAATTACAATATTAAATAGTGAATATTTAAGTGGATCTATTGCCCTGACGTAACCCCTCCCTTGCTGCTTTGCTCTAGATGTTATTCCTCCAGAAACGCTTAATTCGTCACACACTAACCACGGCATCAGCCCTCTCAGTGTCCTGCTGTTTCCACGGAGGCGTCTGGACAAACTCTTCGGCCGCTTCAACGAGCGACGGGGGGGACGGCAAAATGTGACCCGTTACCTAGGTAACACCCAAAGGGGTATAATGAGCATTTCAAGGTAAAAAAGGGTATATGTTAAACACTAATGCATCTTCGTAGGTAGCAGAGATGTTCCTCTAAGGGTATGCTTGGCTAAAAATGCTGAGTAATGGGTAGTTTCAGACTCGAAGGGGACCAGGGAAGTGAACAACGTATCGGCGTTCTTCGCTAAAAAATCCACCTGGGCACACACGTTATGTTGTGAGACAGTCAAGTGTATATCCGTGGACATATAAATCTATTTAATAGTACCGACGATCTTGGGAAACTGCTCTCGTGGTCAGGCTGGGAGCCACAAACCCACATTTGCCACCCCAAAGCCGCCCGACGGATACCACACTACCTACGACGTATCCCAAAGGATAACACTCCTCGCTACCCGGTACAGCATGGCAGGCTTATGGTTTTTAACCACTCCACTGAGCTGCGGCCCCTTCTATCCAAAGATCTACCTACTCGAGTCGATGACGCACTCTCACCAACGCCACCGACAGGTCCAGACCCCTTAAGGAGGACACGGCTTGGTGACTCAGTCGGACCATGGCCCGGAAGCTGCTGCTGTTTTTGATAGATAATAGCAGCGTGGCGGCTGTCAGGGACATAATTATAATAAAAGGCTTTTACAGATGGAGTGAGGAGAAGGACAGAAAGCAAGAAACCGCTCTCTGTCTCCCTGAGGAAAGTCGGCATGTACCATGTGATGAGGGTGCCCCCCAGGCATCCAGGCTGCGGACATGGGAACCGGCCCCCAACCTTCCTGATGTTTATCACTCTGTAACCACATGAAAAACAACAATGTATGAAAAAGGCCTAAGGACAGTTATGACCAAGGACAGGTGTTTATAAAGCGGAAATGAGCCAGTGACCCTTTTTCGGGGCTCAGATGTTTGATGGGATGTGGCTGATTCCTGGGAGGCAGACGCCCCTTTTCTCACCCTTGCTGCTATTTGTTTTTTAGCTGCTCTATGTCAGGAAGATGACTGGGGTGTGTGAGGGGGGTTGTGGTGAAAACACTCAAAGAAATGGGAGTATGCATATGCGTGAATGCCATTTGGACTCCGAGTCGCTCCAGTCCAAATTGTCACTGAAAGGCACAATGTAGAGCTCCCCCTAGCATCAGGACTGCTGCATGGCATGGACTCCTTTGTTCCTAATCACCAGGCAAGCTGCGAGGGGCAAGCAGGTGCCACAGTCCTATGAGAAAGTTGATGTTCCAGTATTTTACTGTTGTTTTTATCTTTAAGCCGTAACTGAGCACCCGGGGAAAGAAGTACTCAAAGAATATTAATAGAAAATGGCTTTGGAGTATTTTTTTGGAGAAACGAATGTTCCGGACCCTCCATGGCACGAAGGACACGGACGTTTATTTACGAGTTTAGAGAGAAATCATTTCAAAGATTTCCTCCCCTCTGCCAGGAAATAAAGGACATTTTTCAGCCTTAGCTACTGTTAGATATGTGGCCCAAAATAGGCACAGCGCTCCTTGCCTGAGCTTTGAAACCCCCCTCTCGCTCTGGGGAGGGGGGCGGTGACAGTGAGAAAAGACAAGCTGATGAGCGGTGCCCCCTCCTGAGCTCAACCACAGGTTGGGGAAGGGCAACAGGTTAAGTAACACAATATGTGGCTACAGTGTTCACAGTCCAATTTTCAGAACAGGAATTACTTGACTATAATCCAATAATTCAACACTGCATACATGAAGGTGGGGGGGAGGCACCTTCACGGTCAAATTTCTGTGTGATCTGCCTCTCATCTCTATGCTTCTGGGGAAATATCAAGAAAATACTGTGGCCCTCATCAGGTTAGCCTGGATTTCCCTGCCTCTGTACATGTGGACCAGTCAAACCTCTCACATATACCCAGTAGCTTCCAGGAAGAAAAATACAAAAATGGCAGTCATCTGACCTCACTGTGTTTGATGGCCACTGCGCTCTTACCCCCCACCCGGGAGACCGTTCCACCTCGAGCATGGCTCATTTCACAGTTTCCTACCATCCTATCCCTCTCACGAGAGCCGTTCACTCTGACTCACTATCCCTGCCAGTCTGAGCCGAGTCCCACAAATGGTGGGCGTGCCTGGCGGTTCATTTTCACCACCGTGATGGGGCACTCCGGGCTCACGCTAGCCTGCTTTCGTGAAACACTGACAGACTTCCCATAAGCTCCTTCAGCGCTTGGATTGAGTGGAAGCTCCGGTGTGATATTTGTTCTGGGAATCCCCGGGGGTTGGGAGAGTAGTATATTAAACAAGGGGCCCATGAGTCAGGATTTACAGGAATAGAGCAAATGCGAGGAAATGTCACAGGGGTCAATTTACACTCCCGGCAATCCGGAGCAGAATGGGCGTGTCGGGAGAGAGATGTGACTCACTGTCACTCTCTGAAAGGCGGCGTGCCGGGAGAGAGATGTGACTCACTGTCACTCTCTGAAAGGGCGTGCCGGGAGAGAGATGTGACTCTGTTACTCTCTGAAAGAGCGTGCCGGGATATGCAGAGCGGACCTGTTGTCTGTGCCGTTTGCAGTGCGAGTGAATGGCGGGTGAAAGGGCGTGCCGGGAGAGAGATGTGACTCACTGTCACTCTCTGAAAGGGCGTGCCGGGAGAGAGATGTGACTCACTGTCACTCTCTGAAAGGGCGTGCCGGGAGAGAGATGTGACTCTCTGTCACTCTCTGAAAGGGCGTGCCGGGATATGCAGAGCGGACCTGTTGTCTGTGCCGTTTGCAGTGCGAGTGAATGGCAGACCAAGCAGAGGACGATAAGGAGTCAGTTTCCGGGATGAATTTGAGCCAACTCACCCTGATTCAGCTCCACTTCAGCAAGCAAAAAAAAACATCCACACAGACAATAGGGCTTGAAAGAGGACAAAAGCTGCAAGTCATCTCTGGACAAGCCATCTATCCCAATATCTGCAGATGTGCAAAATGGGATCTCTCCACTCCTCTGTTAAGTTCGCATCCATTGCTATTGAAGTGGACCGCAAGTGGAATCTGAAGCCCCTTCTTAAAGGAGTGTGTGTTAGCTCTTCAAGAGCTACCTTGTATGGGATTAGGGACCGTTGACAAATTCAAAATCGATGTTTAAATGAACACACCCGATACCACGTGTCTTAGGCTGCTGGACTTCACTGTGCATTTGTAAAAGTGACGGGGCTATTTTTTTTTACCTTGCCTGTCTAATTCACACATTTGCTGTTAAAATGTATGCGCGTGTTTTTCAATATCTTATTTGTTCGAAATGGGATTAGGCCTTAGAGTGCCGATTCAATGCAAAGAGGAAACCATTGATGAGGGCGGCGAGCCGCAGCCTGACTGACCAACTGCAATGTTCCTCTGGAACCCATCATGAACTTGAAATAATTAGAAAAAGAACGTCCTAAATTATCAGGAACATTCACATGTGAGAGGGTTCTGAGAGGTTTTTATTCTGGAGTCTCTAGAAGATTCTCATACGGGAGTGTCCTGAGGGCTTCTTATACAGGAGTTTCTAGAAGGTTCTAATATGGGAGGCCTAAAACCAGCCACGCCACTGCTTTCACAGCTCAGTCACAGTATTCGCTAAGAAGTGAAAATAAGCTTGTTTTCATACAAAGCCATTCACAGGTTTAAATTTTCGTGCATAGAAGCTTTCCTGTTTGCTACAGGAATTCGAGATGTAGGACGCAGCCTGCAGCCTGCTTGCGTTAAATTAAGATCTGTGCCCACAGCCGTCTGCGTAGAGGAAGAGGAAAACTATGTACCTGGAGCTATGGATACATGTGACTGAGTATATTTCCAGGTGAACAATCTCAAGAACTCTGACCCAAGAGCATAACAGAGAAAACTAGTAAACAAACAAACAAGCAAGAGACCCAACTGCAATCGATGCATGCAATCATTCAAGCCCCATTCTCATCCAAACACACCAAGAGTC